ATACCTGTTTGTGGATAATTCTTTCCCTAGAGATGGGTTGGTCAGGTTCCAGGTGTTGGCCTGTACCCTCTCTCTCTTTCCAATGACGTTGTCACCAAGGGGGGTAGAAATAGCCTAAGCTACTCTATCCCTTTGAGATGTATTTCTTGCTTATCTCAATAAACGTACTTGAACTTGAACTTGACGTTCTCATCAACAAATTTGCTCTCTCTGCGGTGCTCCGTTCTGTAGGGGCGGCGGCTTGTAATGACACTCGCATTACTAGACACGAAAAAAATTAATAACTGCAAATTAATGGTAAAACACTTGAGAGGGTTGACCACTATCAATACCTTGGCGTCACTGTCGGCTCTGACAAGGGAAGCAAAGATCAACTCGACTAATAGGGAAATGTAACAGTCGACTCAGGGCACTGAAAACTATGACCTGGAATGGGCATGGGAGCCTCTATTGCCGTGCTTAAAATGATGTACAAAGCTTATGTGTACTTCGTCATAGACTTTGCCGCACCAGTCTTGTGCACTTACTCACAAAGCGATATAAAAAGATTTGAAAGCATACAAAATAAAGCCATGAGAATCATTCCTGGAGACCCAAGAACTGCCAAGCCATCTTACCTACAAGAAAAGCTGGCTCTCCGCAGTGTTAAAAGCAGATGTAAGAAATTGAACGCTAAGTTTGCGATCATAATAGCCCGTGACCCCGACTCTGTACTACTTAGAGGAGGAAACAAGAAAAGACATCAAATAACGGCATCACAGAGCAGTCTGCTACCTGGAAGAGCTTCACCTGCTTGAGCAAGCCTGTGAGCTCCTGCCTGTAGAGAGGTGACCTCCCTGGGAGGATGACTCATGTAGGATTATTAATAACAACATGACGAACAAAAAGAGTCCAACATAATACCACAAGAAATGAGGCATAAGTATTTTGAGGAAATTTATACAGCACCCGGAAATGAATTAGATCAAATTTACACTGATGGGTCATCTATTCCTACTGAAAGCAGGGCTGGTGCAGCATATACTGCAATTAGGAATAATGTCTTTCAAAACTTAAATGAAAACAACTCACGTATTGATTATGCGTAATCAACGCAAGCAGAGCTAACTGTCATTGTTATGACGTCAAGATGCCTAGAAGCACTAATGGTGCAGTGATCTGCACTTGTCTAAAAGTAGCACTTCAAAACCTTAGCAAAAACCAGGCAGAAAACCTCTCGTTAGTCACTGAAGTCAAGAGAGCTGTGAGAGTAGTAACCACAGGAGAGAATGGTCAAATTCCTGTGGATCCCCTCCCATGTTGGGGATCCCCTCCCATGTTGGGGATCCCCTCCCATGTTGGGGATCCCCTCCCATGTTGGGGATCCCCTCCCATGTTGGGGATCCCCTCCCATGTTGGGGATCCCCTCCCATGTTGGGGATCCCCTCCCATGTTGGGGATCCCCTCCCATGTTGGGGATCCCCTCCCATGTTGGGGATCCCCTCCCATGTTGGGGATCCCCTCCCATGTTGGGGATCCCCTCCCATGTTGGGGATCCCCTCCCATGTTGGGGATCCCCTCCCATGTTGGAATCTGCGCAAATGAACGAGCAGATGTGCTGACTGCTGAAGGCGCTGACGGAGACCGTATTAAATACTTCAAGCCCATAACTCTTCTACAAATCAGAGGTATTGTCAGGCAACCTCACTATAACAAGGTAACTGAGAAAAGGAGGATAGAAGAACAAGTCAGTGAATCTATACGCTGGTACAACATGGTTGCAGCTGGCAATCCCAGTCATTATGGACGAAGAGGAGGTAACCATGGGAGGGAATCAGTAATAGTAAAAACTAGTCTTGGATACAAATATCAATGGAGATTCGGGATGGAAACAATAGTTGACCAGCGGAGCTGCAGAATCTATGATGACAGTAACGGACACCGCCTTGACCACTACCTGAGAGAATGTGAACATCTAAGTAACCTTAAAATAGGTGTAGAATAATAAACCCCACATTTTTCGAGTTAGGAAAACACTATTTGTCAAATATAGATATTGTTATTAAAAGATTCCCACATTTTGCACCCGCAAGATATCGTACATTTTAGAGAGTTGACGAATGTTAATCTTCTTGTTTGAGGAGCTGTTCACTTGAGACAGTTAAGCAAGTCCCAGCTGTGTCTGGGTACAAGTGACAGGATGAACAACCCAGCGGGTTTTCTTCCTATTGGAGAGTGTTGTACATGTCACTATGGCGGTGTGTCCACTCACAGGATGAGTGACGCTGCCCAATACTGTTACTATGGCGGTGCGTCCACTCACAGGATGACTGGCGCTGCCCAATACTGTCACTATGGCGGTGTGTCCACTCACAGGATGAGTGACGCTGCCCAATACTGTCACTATGGCGGTGTGTCCACTCACAGGATGAGTGGCGCTGCCCAATACTGTCACTATGGCGGTGTGTCCACTCACAGGATGAGTGGCGCTGCCCAATACTGTCACTATGGCGGTGTGTCCACTCACAGGATGAGTGGCGCTGCCCAATACTGTCACTATGGCGGTGTGTCCACTCACAGGATGAGTGGCGCTGCCCAATACTGTCACTATGGCGGTGTGTCCACTCACAGGATGAGTGGCGCTGCCCAATACTGTCACTATGGCGGTGTGTCCACTCACAGGATGAGTGGCGCTGCCCAATACTGTCACTATGGCGGTGTGTCCACTCACAGGATGAGTGACGCTGCCCAATACTGTCACTATGGCGGTGTGTCCACTCACAGGATGAGTGGCGCTGCCCAATACTGTCACTATGGCGGTGTGTCCACTCACAGGATGAGTGGCGCTGCTCAATACTGTCACTATGGCGGTGTGTCCACTCACAGGATGAGTGGCGCTGCCCAATACTGTCACTATGGCGGTGTGTCCACTCACAGGATGAGTGACGCTGCCCAATACTGTCACTATGGCGGTGCGTCCACTCACAGGATGACTGGCGCTGCCCAATACTGTCACTATGGCGGTGTGTCCACTCACAGGATGAGTGACGCTGCCCAATAGTGTCACTATGGTGGTGTGTCCACTCACAGGATGAGTGACGCTGCCCAATACTGTCACTATGGTGGTGTGTCCACTCACAGGATGAGTGACGCTGCCCAATACTGTCACTATGGCGGTGTGTCCACTCACAGGATGAGTGGCGCTGCCCAATACTGTCACTATGGTGGTGTGTCCACTCACAGGATGAGTGACGCTGCCCAATACTGTCACTATGGCGGTGTGTCCACTCACAAGATGAGTGACGCTGTCCAATACTGTCACTATGGCGGTGTGTCTATTCGCAGGATGAGTGGCGCTGCCCAATACTGTCACTATGGCGGTGTGTCCACTCACAGGATGAGTGGCGCTGCCCAATACTGTCACTATGGCGGTGTGTCCACTCACAGGATGAGTGACGCTGCCCAATACTGTCACGTGATAGTTTTGTCTACAGTTCATTTAGTCCGCTAATTTTTATGAGCCTCACCTTGCGGATGATAAAGAGTTACTGGTGTAGTAAAGTGTAATAATACTCTTGTGACTAGGCTCGCCACCAATTTTGCCGTGATCTACGTGGTCGCAATGCGAGTCGCCCAAGCTATAAGTAGGAGCAATGGGGCCGACTCCACCCCACACCTTGTGGTCAATTACAGCTTCTCTGTCACCTTTTTTTTTTTGAGATATATACAAGAGTTGTTACATTCTTGTAGAGCCACTAGTACGCGTAGCGTTTCGGGCAGGTCCCTGGAATACGATCCCCGCCGCGAAGAATCGTTGTTACAACCAAGTACACATTTTACTGTTGACTTAAACAGAGGCTACAGTTAAGGATTTACGCCCAGTAAATCCTCCCCGGATTTATTGGGCGCAAATCCTTACATAATTACGATTGCCCAGTGTCTCTCGCATGTTACTTTGGACAGACAAACAGACAGATATTTGCTCTTATTAATATAATGTTCCTTGTTCCCTACTCGCTCAGGCGTCCAACACATTGTTCTTACACTAACTTAAGACAGTTGATATTATAGATGTGTAACAACGCTTCAATGTTGAACAAAATTGTTTACAGTCTCCGTGGTGTAGTGGTAAGACACTCGCCTGGCGTTCCGCGAGCGCTATGTCATGGGTTCGTATCCTGGCCGGGGAGGATTTACTGGGCGCAATTCCTTAACCGTAGCCTCTGTTTAACGCAACAGTAAAATGTGTACTTGGATGAAAAAACGATTCTTCGCGGCGGGGATCGTATTCCAGGGACCATAGGATTAAGGACTTGCACGAAACGCTACGCGTACTAGTGGCTCTACAAGAATGTAACAACTCTTGTATATATCTCAAAAAAAAAAAAAAAAAAAAAAACGCTTAAACCACTGATGTTAAACTACCTATATATATATATATATATTACATGTATGTAATATATATACAGGTAGTATGTATGTTACTTGTAACATAGTGTTACAAGTGTAACATGGTGGGAGGAGGGTGGAGATAAGGGAGACATAACAGTTCCGTGTTGTTACATGGTTGTTAAGTATCTTAATTACTGTGTTGCAACAAAATGACGATGATAAAGTGAGTGATAATGACGATGATGATGATGATGATGTTAGAGACAATGACGGTGTTGAAGATAGGTGCACTGATGGTAGTGAGAATGATGATATGAGTGCGTGAGGGAAGTACTCTATGAGTGCGTAGAGGGAAGTACTCTATGAGTGCGTGAGGGAAGTACTCTATGAGTGCGTGAGGGGAAGTACTCTATGAGTGCGCGAGGGAAAGTACTCTATGAGTGCGTGAGGGGAAGTACTCTATGAGTGCGTGAGGGAAGTACTGTATGAGTGCGTGAGGGGAAGTACTCTATGAGTGCGTGAGGGCAGTACTCTATGAGTGCGTGAGGGTAGTACTCTATGAGTGCGTGAGGGGAAGTACTCTATGAGTGCGTAGAGGGAAGTACTCTATGAGTGCGTAGAGGGGGTACCTGGTGAACGTAGTCAGGGACGAGGTGCAGGTGAGTGAAGGTGGTGGTGTTGGGGTGGACCAGGTACAGCAGGGACCCCACGCGCTGCGCCAGGGACAGCTCCATCATGCCTGCAAGAGATTGTCCCACACTGTAGCAGGAAGGCCGCTCCCGTGCCTAACACCGATCTTAGTACACTGTGAGTAGCTACACTTAGTGTTACGTTACTGTACTCAGGTAAGGCAAAGTTATCTGAGTAGCTACACTTAGTGTTACATTACTGTACTCAGGCAAGGTAAAGTTATCTGAGTAGCTACACTTAGTGTTGCATAACAGTACTCAGGCAAGGTAAAGTTATCTGAGTAGCTACACTTAGTGTTACATTACTGTACTCAGGCAAGGCAAAGTTATCTGAGTAGCTACATTTAGTGTTGCATAACAGTACTCAGGTAAGGTAAAGTTATCTGAGTAGCTACACTTAGTGTTGCATAACAGTACTCAGGCAAGGTAAAGTTATCTACTTAATTGAACATGATTAGGAGAATTGAGAAACAAAATATGATTGAAGATTGATATGATTGAAGACTTCACTACATGATTGAAGACATTTTTCTGTATGGCTCTAAGATACAACATTAAGGCTACGTAGGGTGGAGGATTGTTTCTTAAAAGACAACTCTTGAGTATATAGATGAGTGTGTGTTACGCTCTGGCCCAAGGCTGTCATTAAAGACAGTTACACACACAAGTCACATTAACGTGATATATATAAATTTAAAAAATCCACTAGAGAAATGAGGTGGACGCGGACCTACGATCTTGACATTGTAGGCGCATACTCTACACTAGACCGCCGCTAGTCGGGGACCTCATCGCCCAACCCTGGAAACACAAACCGTAACTGTCTATTTTCCGCTTGTTACAACTTGTAATAAAGTTGTTACATCTTGGCTTAACGTGTTTATGACGTATTAGAACGTTGTTACAACATGGTATATTGGTTGTTATAACTGGTTAGGAGGTGTTAAAACTTGTTCGAACGTTGTACCAACGTCGTAGTTTCGGTGTGTGTTTGACGGGAAGTGGCTTCTGTTACGGCCACTTAGGACCAGTAATCGGGTTCTTGAAAGTCGGTAGTATGCTTTCAAGAACTGGTTGTACAGTGCAATAAAAAATAAGGGGGGGATGAACAACACACACTTCGCTTCACCAATATATTTACACTTTCACCAGCTATATAAATAAAAATGTTAATGTTCGTTTGTTCAAAATCGCTAATCTCCGAAAGTTCTTCACCGATTGCTATGAAATTTTGACACAACGTTGCATTCGAATAGGCGCATGTTTTTATATACCTACTATAAAGATGCCACCCATGCGACAGGTAAAAACATGTGTTTTTGAAAATCAACGCCATCTGTTGCACATAATAGCAACATGCACGCTATACTAAATGTCACGAATTCTATTTCAATGTTTCCGACTGCATTGATAAATTTTATTTTCATAGATTTCGATTTATTTTATTTTTGTACTAGCAGGTACTAGCAGGGTACTGGTAGTACCTGCTAGTACTACCAGTACCCTGCTAGTACCTGCTAGTACTACCAGTACCCTACTAGTACCTGCTAGTACTAGCAGTACCCTGCTAGTACCTGCTAGTAAAAAATAAAATAAATCGAAATCTATGAAAATAAAATTTATCAATGCAGTCGGAAACATTGAAATAGAATTCGTGACATTTAGTATAGCGTGCATGTTGCTATTATGTGCAACAGATGGCGTTGATTTTCAAAAACACATGTTTTTACCTGTCGCATGGGTGGCATCTTTATAGTAGGTATATAAAAACATGCGCCTATTCGAATGCAACGTTGTGTCAAAATTTCATAGCAATCGGTGAAGAACTTTCGGAGATTAGCGATTTTGAACAAACGAACATTAACATTTTTATTACTTAGATGATATACAATGGCTTGCAAAGCTCCACTTTACATTCTTTCAGCACCCTGGCAAACACTTCGCACGCTGGAGGAAGTGTTTGGTCACTCCCCTAAGAATTTGTTTGGCTTGAGTTTCACTATTTGTTTAATAACATCCCCCCCCCCCTCTGGTAACTGTTAAACTAGTCAACCTGTCTTTTTCTCCGCCCTCCATCCACATAGACTTATTCGGCTCAAGGAATAATGTTCAGTTCCTATTTAGTAAATACCGCGATAAAATACTACTCATCTCTTCGTCATTATCCGTTATCTGACCTGTCTCAGTTTTTAATGGACCTATCCTTTCCCTTATCTTTGTTCGATATAACTGAAAAAAAAACTAAGATTTGTCATTGCTTGCCCTGCTATGCGAACTTTATAGTTTCTTTTTGCCATCCTTATCTCTTTTCTAACATTTCAAACCAATTGGACGAATTGTTGTTTTAACTGACAAGTTAACTGACAAGTTTCCCCATTCTAAATGCTTTTGTACAAAGTTCTCTTTCTACCTATAGGGTTCTTCAGATCCTTTGTTATCCATTTCGGGTCATCATTATTCGATCTATTCAATTTGTATGGTATACGACGTTCATCTGATTTCCTTATAATATGTTTAAATTTATATTTTGAATCCACATCGAAATCCAGAGGTGCAGTTTGTGTAGCTACCATGATACAACCTAGATCTTAACTTATAGCACTCAGACCTCCCTCCCCATGACCAGTACTCAGACCTCCCTCCCCATGACCAGCACTCAGACCACCCTCCCCATGACCAGCACTCAGACCTCCCTCCCCATGACCAGCACTCAGACCACCCTCCCCATGACCAGCACTCAGACCACCCTCCCCATGACCAGCACTCAGACCACCCTCCCCATGACCAGCACTCAGACCTCCCTCCCCATGACCAGCACTCAGACCTCCCTCCCCATGACCAGCACTCAGACCTCCCTCCCCATGACCAGCACTCAGACCTCCCTCCCCATGACCAGCACTCAGACCTCCCTCCCCATGACCAGCACTCAGACCTCCCTCCCCATGACCAGTACTCAGACCACCCTCCCCATGACCTGGACTCAGACCTCCCTCCCCATGACCAGCACTCAGACCTCCCTCCCCATGACCAGCACTCAGACCTCCTCCCTCCCCATGACCAGCACTCAGACCTCCTCCCTCCCCATGACCAGCACTCAGACCACCCTCCCCATGACCAGCACTCAGACCTCCCTCCTCATGACCAGCACTCAGACCTCCCTCCCCATGACCAGCACTCAGACCTCCCTCCCCATGACCAGCACTCAGACCTCCCTCCCCATGACCAGCACTCAGACCTCCCTCCCCATGACCAGCACTCAGACCACCCTCCCCATGACCAGCACTCAGACCTCCCTCCTCATGACCAGCACTCAGACCTCCCTCCCCATGACCAGCACTCAGACCTCCCTCCCCATGACCAGCACTCAGACCACCCTCCCCATGACCAGCACTCAGACCTCCTCCCTCCCCATGACCAGCACTCAGACCTCCCTCCCCATGACCAGCACTCAGACCTCCTCCCTCCCCATGACCAGCAATCAGACCTCCTCCCTCCCCATGACCAGCACTCAGACCTCCTCCCTCCCCATGACCAGCACTCAGACCTCCTCCCTCCCCATGACCAGCTCTCAGACCACCCTCCCCATGACCAGCACTCAGACCTCCCTCCCTCCCCATGACCAGCACTCAGACCTCCTCCCTCCCCATGACCAGCACTCAGACCTCCCTCCCTCCCCATGACCAGCACTCAGACCTCCTCCCCATGACCAGCACTCAGACCTCCCTCCCCATACCTAGCACTCAGACCACCCTCCCCATGACCAGTACTCAGACCTCCCTCCCCATGACCAGTACTCAGACCTCCCTCCCCATGACCAGCACTCAGACCTCCTCCCCATGACCAGCACTCAGACCTCCCTCCCCATGCCTAGCACTCAGACCACCCTCCCCATGACCAGCACTCAGACCACCCTCCCCATGACCAGCACTCAGACCTCCCTCCCCATGACCAGCACTCAGACCTCCCTCCCCATGACCAGCACTCAGACCTCCCTCCCCATGACCAGCACTCAGACCTCCCTCCCCATGACCAGCACTCAGAACTCCCTCCCCATGACCAGCACTCAGACCTCCCTCCCCATGACCAGCACTCAGACCTCCCTCCCCATGCCTAGCACTCAGACCTCCCTCCCCATGCCTAGCACTCAGACCACCCTCCCCATGACCAGCACTCAGACCTCCCTCCCCATGACCAGCACTCAGACCTCCCTCCCCATGACCAGCACTCAGACCTCCCTCCCCATGACCAGCACTCAGACCACCCTCCCCATGACCAGCACTCAGACCACCCTCCCCATGACCAGCACTCAGACCTCCCTCCCCATGACCAGCACTCAGACCTCCATCCCCATGACCAGCACTCAGACCTCCCTCCCCATGACCAGCACTCAGACCTCCCTCCCCATGACCAGCACTCAGACCTCCCTCCCCATGACCAGCTCTCAGACCTCCCTCCCCATGACCAGCACTCAGACCTCCCTCCCCATGACCAGCACTCAGACCTCCCTCCCCATGACCAGCACTCAGACCACCTCCCTCCCCATGACCAGCACTCAGACCACCCTCCCCATGACCAGCACTCAGACCTCCTCCCTCCCCATGACCAGCACTCAGACCTAATCCTGGCCCGCCTCGTGTGTATGGGGAGGTTGCAAATGTCTATTTACATTCGTTCCCATATGCAAACGAAGAGTCACAACAACCTGGCTGAATTAAAGAGAGCCAAATCTCACATCAGAAAGGGAAGAAACGGGGACGTTTCGGTCCGTCCTGAACCATTATAAAGTCTAGTAATAGAAAGACAGAGACAGACAGACAATGTAAGGACAGATAGCGAGTTATCGTGACTGTTGGGTATTGTTCATTAGTGTGTTGGTCCGTCACATATATCACCACCAAGTTACACTTGAGTGTTGGTCGGTCACATATATCACCACCAAGTTACACTGGTGTGTTGGTCCGTCACATATATCACCACCAAGTTACACTGGTGTGTTGGTCCGTCACATATATCACCACCAAGTTACACTGGTGTGTTGGTCCGTCACATATATCACCACCAAGTTACCCTTGAGTGTTGGTCCGTCACATATATCACCACCAAGTTACACTGGTGTGTTGGTCGGTCACATATATCACCACCAAGTTACCCTTGAGTGTTGGTCCGTCACATATATCACCACCAAGTTACACTGGTGTGTTGGTCGGTCACATATATCACCACCAAGTTACACTGGTGTGTTGGTCCGTCACATATATCACCACCAAGTTACACTGGTGTGTTGGTCCGTCACATATATCACCACCAAGTTACACTGGTGTGTTGGTCGGTCACATATATCACCACCAAGTTACACTGGAGTGTTGGTCCGTCACATATATCACCACCAAGTTACACTGGAGTGTTGGTCCGTCACATATATCACCACCAAGTTACACTGGAGTGTTGGTCAGTCACATATATCACCACCAAGTTACACTGGAGTGTTGGTCAGTCACATATATCACCACCAAGTTACACTTGAGTGTTGGTCCGTCACATATATCACCACCAAGTTACACTTGAGTGTTGGTCCGTCACATATATCACCACCAAGTTACACTTGAGTGTTGGTCCGTCACATATATCACCACCAAGTAACAACACACAGGCACAAGGAAAGTGAGAGTTACCTCCGGGTACTGAGAGACTGTTATGTTGTTACGTGTGGTGGCTTCCGACTGGAGGGAGCGTGGAGGCGCCGAGGAGAGCGCAGCTAACGACGTCCTGGCGTGGTTGTTGATCCCGGTCAACTGAGCATGTGTGCCTAGCAGCCTTCCCACTGATACTAATGAATGCTGTCAGCGGGGTGCGCATGCGCCCGCCCCGTGTGTATGGGGGAGGCTTCAGCGGGGTGCGCATGCGCCCGCCCCGTGTGTATGGGGAGGCTTCAGATGGGTTGTCCTAATCATAGTGGAGCTTCACCTGCGTCTCCCTTAGTGAGGCTGTTGTGTCATGGAGGGAAATTGTCACTTGTGTCAATAAATTATGTCTTGATCAATGCTTTTATAAATGAATTATGTGCTGTTGCTGCTGTTATTACTGGTGCTGCTTCAGTTGCTAGTGCTGCTGCTGCTGTTATTACTGGTGCTGCTTCAGTTGCTAGTGCTGCTGCTGCTGTTATTACTGGTGCTGCTTCAGTTGCTAGTGCTGCTGCTGCTGTTATTACTGTTATTACTGGTGCTGCTTCAGTTACTAGTGCTGCTGCTGCTGTTATTACTGTTATTACTGGTGCTGCTTCAGTTACTAGTGCTGCTGCTGTTATTACTGTTATTACTGGTGCTGCTTCAGTTGCTAGTGCTGCTGCTGCTGTTATTACTGGTGCTGCTTCAGTTACTAGTGCTGCTGCTGCTGTTATTACTGTTATTACTGGTGCTGCTTCAGTTGCTAGTGCTGCTGCTGCTGTTATTACTGGTGCTGCTTCAGTTACTAGTGCTGCTGCTGCTGTTATTACTGTTATTACTGGTGCTGCTTCAGTTGCTAGTGCTGCTGCTGCTGTTATTACTGTTATTACTGGTGCTGCTTCAGTTGCTAGTGCTGTTGCTGCTGTTATTACTGTTATTACTGGTGCTGCTTCAGTTGCTAGTGCTGCTGCTGCTGTTATTACTGTTATTACTGGTGCTGCTTCAGTTGCTAGTGCTGCTGCTGCTGTTATTACTGTTATTACTGGTGCTGCTTCAGTTACTAGTGCTGCTGCTGCTGTTATTACTGGTGCTGCTTCAGTTACTAGTGCTGCTGCTGCTGTTATTACTGTTATTACTAGTGCAGCTTCAGTTGCTAGTGCTGCTGCTGCTGTTATTACTGTTATTACTGGTGCTGCTTCAGTTGCTAGTGCTGCTGTTGCTGTTATTACTGGTGCTGCTTCAGTTACTAGTGCTGCTGTTATTACTGTTATTACTGGTGCTGCTTCAGTTGCTAGTGCTGTTGCTGCTGTTATTACTGTTATTACTGGTGCAGCTTCAGTTGCTAGTGCTGCTGCTGCTGTTATTACTGTTATTACTGGTGCTGCTTCAGTTGCTAGTGCTGTTGCTGCTGTTATTACTGTTATTACTGGTGCAGCTTCAGTTGCTAGTGCTGCTGCTGCTGTTATTACTGTTATTACTGGTGCTGCTTCAGTTGCTAGTGCTGCTGCTGCTGTTATTACTGGTGCTGCTTCAGTTGCTAGTGCTGCTGCTGCTGTTATTACTGTTATTACTGGTGCAGCTTCAGTTGCTAGTGCTGTTGCTGCTGTTATTACTGTTATTACTGGTGCTGCTTCAGTTGCTAGTGCTGCTGTTGCTGTTATTACTGGTGCTGCTTCAGTTACTAGTGCTGCTGCTGCTGTTATTACTGTTATTACTGGTGCTGCTTCAGTTGCTAGTGCTGCTGCTGCTGTTATTACTGTTATTACTGGTGCCGCTTCAGTTGCTAGTGCTGCTGCTGCTGTTATTACTGTTATTACTGGTGCTGCTTCAGTTGCTAGTGCTGCTGCTGCTGTTATTACTGGTGCTGCTTCAGTTGCTAGTGCTGCTGCTGCTGTTATTACTGGTGCTGCTTCAGTTGCTAGTGCTGCTGCTGCTGTTATTACTGGTGCTGCTTCAGTTGCTAGTGCTGCTGCTGCTGTTATTACTGGTGCTGCTTCAGTTGCTAGTGCTGCTGCTGCTGTTATTACTGTTATTACTGGTGCTGCTTCAGTTGCTAGTGCTGCTGCTGCTGTTATTACTGGTGCTGCTTCAGTTGCTAGTGCTGCTGCTGCTGTTATTACTGTTATTACTGGTGCTGCTTCAGTTGCTAGTGCTGCTGCTGCTGTTATTACTGTTATTACTGGTGCTGCTTCAGTTACTAGTGCTGCTGCTGCTGTTATTACTGGTGCTGCTTCAGTTGCTAGTGCTGCTGCTGCTGTTATTACTGGTGCTGCTTCAGTTACTAGTGCTGCTGCTGCTGTTATTACTGTTATTACTGGTGCTGCTTCAGTTGCTAGTGCTGCTGTTGCTGTTATTACTGGTGCTGCTTCAGTTACTAGTGCTGCTGTTATTACTGTTATTACTGGTGCTGCTTCAGTTGCTAGTGCTGCTGTTGCTGTTATTACTGTTATTACTGGTGCAGCTTCAGTTGCTAGTGCTGCTGCTGCTGTTATTACTGTTATTACTGGTGCTGCTTCAGTTGCTAGTGCTGTTGCTGCTGTTATTACTGTTATTACTGGTGCAGCTTCAGTTGCTAGTGCTGTTGCTGCTGTTATTACTGTTATTACTGGTGCTGCTTCAGTTGCTAGTGCTGCTGCTGCTGTTATTACTGTTATTACTGGTGCTGCTTCAGTTGCTAGTGCTGCTGCTGCTGTTATTACTGTTATTACTGGTGCAGCTTCAGTTGCTAGTGCTGCTGATGCTGTTATTACTGGTGCTGCTTCAGTTACTAGTGCTGCTGCTGCTGTTATTACTGGTGCTGCTTCAGTTGCTAGTGCTGCTGCTGCTGTTATTACTGTTATTACTGGTGCTGCTTCAGTTACTAGTGCTGCTGCTGCTGTTATTACTGTTATTACTGGTGCAGCTTCAGTTACTAGTGCTGCTGCTGCTGTTATTACTGTTATTACTGGTGCTGCTTCAGTTGCTAGTGCTGTTGCTGCTGTTATTACTGTTATTACTGGTGCAGCTTCAGTTGCTAGTGCTGCTGCTGCTGTTATTACTGTTATTACTGGTGCTGCTTCAGTTGCTAGTGCTGTTGCTGCTGTTATTACTGTTATTACTGGTGCTGCTTCAGTTGCTAGTGCTGCTGCTGTTATTACTAGTGCTGCTTCAGTTGATCCCACCACTAGCACCACTATTATCACCACCAGCACTACTACCATCAGCACTACTTGGTTGGAGTGTTTGGTTGCTCACTACAACCACAGTGAGAGGTTGTGTTAGCTGGAGCTCCGATTGTAGTAATATTATTACAACAATAATGGAAGGATTAGTGAAGGAACTGATGGATCTACTCGGAACTCTGAGAGCAGAGATGGCTTCCCTACGGGAGGAGGTACGACAACTGAAACATCGGGAAGAAACGAAGGAGGAGACCAATATTAACAAGACCTCGTCGTGGAAAGTTGTAAAGGACAGGGGTCTTAAGAGACCTTGAAAAGGCCGCCTACAGACGCCCTCAGGACATCAAATTCTTTTGCCGTGTTGGAAGACGAGTGCTGTGGTGAGCCTGCAGTTCACTCGAAAGGGAAATCAACGAAGAGCAACGAAGCACAGACCCCTCAAAGTGCTCCGAAAGTTAAGGAGGTACCTAAGCGAATTTTAGTTGTGGGAGATTCCCAAGTGAGGTACTTAGACAGAACGTTTTGTGCTAGAAATAGGGGATAGGTTAAGGGTTTGCAATCCAGGAGCTGGAATTGGTGATATTATAAACAACATGAATAATATTATTGCTGGAAATGGGAACAATCCCATTATATGTATTTGCACAAGAGGAAATGATGTTGGTCGAGTTAGGCGTGAGGAACTGATTCAGAGGTATAAAACAGCCATAGAATTAGTTAGGAGCAAGGGAGGAACCCGATCATATGCGGCATTCTTCCAAAAAAGGGAGTGGGAAATGAATGGTTGTCGAAGGCACTTGGTGTCAATTGCCAGCTGGAAAGATATTGAAAATCAAATGTTATCTTTCATAGACAACTGGGAATACTTCTATAGAAGAAATGAAATGTATGCTCGGGATGGGGTGCATCTATCGAAGGCTGGGGTTGTTGCTGTTGCGAACTCCTTGGAAGAAGTGGTTGGAAGCGTTTGTTTGGGTTTAAACTGTTAGCAGATAGTGGTATGGGAATTGATTTGGAGGAAGGAGATAATAAAAGTATGTGTTTGTGGGAGAAAGAAATTGGCAAAATGATCAGGGAAAGAGAAGGGCCTCAAAATAACAATTCACTTAGGGTATATTACACTAACAGTAGAAGTCTAAGAAATAAAATTAACGAATTAAATGCTCTTGTCTGCACAGAAAAAATAGATATTATTGCACTTACCGAAACGTGGATGAATGTAGAAAATAGAGAACTATTAGCTGAATATCAAATAAATGGATTTATACTATTTCATACAGATAGATATATTAGACGAGGAGGTGGAGTAGCCATATATGTTAGGGATAATTTGAAATATAGTCTCAAAGAGGGAATCAAAACTGAGCCACACACAGAAACTATTTGGATAGAATTAAACGAAAAAGCTAATAATATTATAATAGGAGTTATATATAGGCCACCAAATTTAGACAGAATGGAAGCAAAGCATCTGTGGGATGAAATATCTAGAGCATCTAGATCTAACAGTATTTATGTCATGGGTGACTTTAATTTTAGTGGAATAAACTGGTTGAACAAAACAGGGAATAATGAAGCAGAAGATTTTCTAGAATTAATTGACGATTGCTTTCTTACGCAACACATTAAGGAACCAACGCGGGAAAATAATATTTTAGATTTAGTGTTAACTAACAGGGAAACACAAATTAATGACATCGAAATAGGGAGTGAGCTAGGGAACAGTGATCACAAAGTGATCAGATTTAGCATAGAATGGAATAGACCTGTAGGAGAAAATTCTGTTAAAGTGCCAGATTTTCGTAAAGATGATTTCAATATCCTAAGAATTTTTGGGGACCCTGCTAATTCAATTTCTTAAAAACCGAGACAGGTCTTTATTATGCACCCCATACCCATCCCGTGGGCGGTGGTGTAAAGGATTACAGAGGCACATAATCGGTTCAGGAACTGAACCCTCTAGTTCGTTTAGCTAAGCAAATAACAATCTTTTGACGCTAGTTACAAAATTATTAATGTTATATATACATGTACACATACTCATACATACATGTACATATATACGTATACATATATACATATGCATACATATTTAATCACCCACACAAATACACACATCAATAATCTTTTGTGTCACAAGTGATTCAACAAGAGGCTCACAACAGTCACTATACAAGGCACTTTACATCTATGGTGAGTCACACAGTTACTAGTCTTGCTGCACACCCACCCAACTGGGCGGCAGCTTTACAGTCATGTGCTCCACACCCACCCAACTGGGCGGCAGCTTTACAGTCATGTGCTCCACACCCACCCAACTGGGCGGCAGCTTTACAGTCATGTGCTCCACACCCACCCAACTGGGCGGCAGCTTTACAGTCATGTGCTCCACACCCACCCAACTGGGCGGCAGCTTTACAGTCATGTGCTCCACACCCACCCAACTGGGTGGCAGCTTTACAGTCATGTGCTCCACACCCACCCAACTGGGCGGCAGCTTTACAGTCATGTGCTCCACACCCACCCAACTGGGCGGCAGCTTTACAGTCATGTGCAGGCATTACCTACAGTAAGCAAATTTTGGATACTTCGCTAAGATTTTGGGCAGCACATCATTATGAATGAAGTACTTACACATTTCTTGGACACTATTGATGGTGTTATCTCTAAATTCCGCAATTGTTTCACATTCCATTATATAATGACGCAAAGTATGCGAATAATTCTGCTGACAGAGTTTACATTTAGTCAAATCTACATCAGCAGATGTTACAAACTGTCAGAGGTACTTGTAGCCGAGCCTAAGCCTAGCAGTGGTAACATCTAGAAGTCTGCTAACCTTATTGGATGACCCATAGACGTGTGGTTCTTCCTGCATAATAGAATGATGATAGATGGAGTAACTGGTGTGAATTTCACTTTGTCTCAAGTCTCCGAAATTTAGTTGATGTTCCTGGGATATTGCTGTCCTCAGGCTGCTCAAAGGCAGTCCAAGTTGGTAATCAATTCCCTCTTTACGAGCAAAAGTCTTGGCCAACTCATCTGTTCTATCATGCATTCGGAGACCAATATGGGAAGGAATCCACAGGAGACAAACTCTGACTCCATCACTATTTCATTATATCTGTATCTAGCTTCAGAGAAAAGCAAGTCACAGTTATGCCTTAGAGCGCTGAGGGCAGTCAAGGATGACAAGGAGTCACTCAGGCAGAGTGCCAGAGTCGTGGAAGGTAGCTAATGTGGTACCAATTTTTAAGAAAGGAGATGGATCACCTGCATCAAACTATCGGCCAATCAGCCTAACGTCTATTGTAGGAAAGTTACTTGAATCGATAATTGCAAACACCATTCGTTTTCGTCTTGAAAACCATAAATTAATAAACGATTCACAACACGGTTTTACAAATGGCCGTTCATGTATAAGAAATTTGCTAACTTTTTATTCCAGCTACGGGAGGCCTCGTAGCCTGGTGGATAGAGCGCAGGATTCGTAATTCTGTGGCGCGGGTTCGATTCCCGCACGAGGCAGAAACAAATGGGCAAAGTTTCTTTCACCCTGAATGCCCCTGTTACCTAGCAGTAAATAGGTACCTGGGAGTTAGTCAGCTGTCACGGGCTGCTTCCTGGGGGTGGAGGCCTGGTCGAGGACCGGGCCGCGGGGACACTAAAGCCCCGAAATTATCTCAAGATAACCTCAAGATAGTGAAATATTGCAGTAGGCAGTTGATAATGGTAATGATTGTGATGTTGTGTACCTTGACTTTAGCAATGCTTTTGATACATTGCCACATGAAAGACTAATTAAAAAGGCTCATGGGGTGCTATATTAAGATGGATTACCAAAGGAAACAGAGAGTAGTATAAATGAGGTTAAGTTAAAGTGGGAAAATGTTGTAAGTGGAGTGCCTGAGGGCTCTGTCCTGGGACCTCTGTTGTTTATAATATATATATATATATATATATATATATATATATATATATATATATATATATATATATATATATATATATATATATATTGTGACGGTAACGCGTTGGTGTTCGGCTGTTCAAAAGCTAGGGGTATGGCCTCGTCACATATAGAAACAAAAAATAGAAAATCTGGAACTTCGTCTGTGGTAAGGTAAAGGGAAGACACACAAAACACAAGTAAATTTAACAATGAGATTTTAATTACGTTAGAAAAGCAAAACATGAATAAAATGGACATACAAATTCGTATAATAAAATCAATCAATCAAAATAATAAGAATAATCAAATGACAAAATGAAAAGTTACGTTAAGACAAGTGAGTAATAACAAGTGTATAACAAACAATGTAAATATTGGTGCAGGAATATTGGCTTTAAGCTATCACCTCTCTTAGTACACGTAAGCCACAGCTTAGTCTACCAACGAGACGTGTTAACTTGTTGAAAGCACTGGATATTCTGAGGTCTGGCTGTCGTGTGGCCCCAGACATCAGGTAGTGTGGTGGGTGGAGGGCAGGTGCAACTGGACCCGCAGCCAATCAGCGATGAGCAAGCGACAGACAGGTAGTTTGGCGGTTCGAGGTGGAGCAGGTGTTCCTGGCTGCATACGTTTTGCGCTCTGGCAAACCTTGGAGATGTAGTTGTTGGATACTTCTTCCATACTAGTTTTATATAGATGTATAGCGACGTATTTTGGAGGGAAGAGCAGGCTCAATCTCTTGAAGGAGATTATCGTCACAATATATATATATATATATATATATATATATATATATATATATATATATATATATATATATATATATATATGTATATATATATATAAATGATTTAGATTCAGGTTTGAGTAGCAACATTTCCAAATTTGCAGATGATACAAAAATCGGTAGGAAAATTAACACGGAGGAGGACTCACTATCACTTTAAGTAGATCTAAATAGGGTTTTGAAATGGTCAAAAGATTGGCAGATGCAGTTTAATGCTGATAAATGTAAAGTTCTGAGGCTAGGTAATGATGATAGAGTTACAAGATACGAGCTAGATGGTGTTGAGATTGCGAAGTCGGATTGCGAAAGGGATCTGGGAGTTATGATTAGTAAAAATTTAAAACAAAAGGATCAATGCATG